CACCTCAACAAACAAAAAGCAAATAATCCAATTAAAAAATGGGCAGAGGAGCCGAATAGACAGTTCTCTAAAGAAGAAATTTAGATGGCCAACAGACACATGAAAAGATGCTCCACATTGCTTGTCATTAGAGAAATGCAAATTAAAACCACAATGAGATATCACGTCACACCAGTAAGGACGGCCACCATCCAAAAGACAAACAACAACAAATGCTGGTGAAGTTGTGGAGAAAAGAGAACCCTCTTACACTGCTGGTGGGAATGTAAATTAGTTCAACCATTGTGGAAAGCAGGATGGAGGTTCCTCAAAAAACTCAAAATAGGAATACCATTTGAGCCAGGAATTCCACTTCTAGGAATTTACCCTAAGAATGCAGTCACCCAGTTTGAAAAAGACAGGTGCACCCCTATGTTTATCGCAGCACTATTTACAATAGCCAAGAAATGGAAGCAACCTAAGTGTCCATTAGTAGATGAGTGGATAAAGAAGATGTGGTACATATACACAATGGAATATTATTCAGCTATAAGAAGAAAAGAAATCCTACCATTTGTAACAACATGGATGGAGCTAGATGGTATTATGCTCAGTGAAATAAGCCAGGGAGAGAAAGACAAGTACCGAATGATTTCACTCAAAAACAGCAGCAGAATCACAGAACCTGAGAATGGACTAACAGTTACCAAAGGGAAAGGGACTGGGGAGGATGGGTGGGTAGGGAGGGATAAGGGCAGGGAAAAAGGAAGGGGGCATTACGATTAGCATGTATAATGTGTGTGGGGGCACGGGGAGGGCTGTACAACACAGAGCAGACAAGTAGTGATTCTACAGCATCTTACTACACAGATGGACGGTGACTGTAATGGGGTTTGGGGGGGGACTTGGTGAAGGGTGGAGCCTAGTAAACATAATGTTGTTCAGGTAATTGTAGATTAATGATACCAAAAGAAAGAAAAAGAAGGAAAAAAAAAACTTGTGGTTGTGCATTTTGACTCTGTCTGGTGGTTCCGTGAAGACTGGTGTAGAGGCTGACCTCTATTTTGCCCATCTTAGGTTGCAGTGGTTTTCCAGGTGGCATGTGATGAATTATATGAAGACATGCTACCCATAGTCACCTGATACAAGGGATGGTGGATGGAGCAGTACATAGACCAAAGGCCTGGGAAGGAGGAGGCTGGGGAAGAAGATTCTTGGAGGAGTCAGGGCTTTGAAGGGCTATCAATGTATCCTGGAGAATCTGAGTGCACCACACATTCCCAGGGCTGCACGCATGCTTAGAAGAGATCTGAGAGCATCCTACATTTGCACCTCTTGCTGGTCTTTGAGCTCTGTACAAAAAAGAGGTGAAGGCTAAGTCAGAGTTGTAAGTGGCCTGACTTAGCAATGAATGAGTGCCCCTGCTAAAAGCCAGTCCACAAAGACTGGGAAATGTTTTTTAAAATATACTTATTACTACTTTTTTTTCTTTTTACCTCAAGTTGCTTAAGGGAATTTGTCAGTTGACCACTGAGATAACAGAACAGAGATTTCAGTGACAACACATGACAAGAAATACAGTCTTCACAGAAATGGTTTGGAAAAGGCACTAACAAGACAACCACAGCCCTTAACAATCAACAACAGTAAACCCTGGGATGGAATGAGTATCATTATTACATTGTAATTTCAAAATGAACAACTTTCAATAAAAT